CACACACACACACACACACACACACACACACACACACACACACACACCTTGACAAATAACAGCGGGGCCTCGCTTAGCTCACCTTGCACTTTGAAGTCAATGATTTGGAGAATGATGGACATGAGGGCTAAATGCTGCACGTCTGTGCCTTTGATTTTGGAACTGGTGGATATGTCGGGGTGTAGCATGCACATCCGTTTGTTTTTTTTGTCCTCGCCTACCTTTTTCTCTGCTTCATACTCGGCCCAGGCAGCCTTGCGATCCTCCTCGCTCAGGGCTTCTGACTCCGTGTGTTCCAGCAGGGAGTCGTGTTCGTGGTAACACACAATCTGGTCCTTATTGTTCTGCAGCATCTCGGCCAGGAAGGGATCCTACAGCAGAACGATGACACAAAGACAGAAAGCGTCACGGTGTGTTTGAAGCATAGACTGTACATAAGAAGTGGACGCAGTCATCGTGACCGCACCCATTCGTTTGTGGCCGCTTTGAGGCCTCGAGTTCGGCAATTTTGGATTATGGCCATTGCCATCTTGTTATTTTTTGCTACCGATAAACAGAAGTTACCATAGTTGGAATGCGGAGGGACGAACTGACGCCGTACATGGCTCTAGTGGTAGCGACCTGTCAATCAGAGTAGGCCCGCCTTAAAGCATACCCTGCTTTATGGTCCATTTTACTCTGAATGGACCATACTAAATGAACATCATGTTGTATAGAAGAAGACTTGAAACTAGAGTGAGATCATAAACTCATGTTCACAATAAATCACGTGAGAAGTAGAGTCATTTTCTCATAGACTTCTATACAACCGGACTTCTTTTTGCAACCAGAGGAGTCGCCCCCTGCTGGTCGGTAGAGAGAATGCAAGTTTTAAGACACTTGGCTTCACTCGACAGAAGCGGAGGTTGCCGCCTGGTTTCAAGTCATCATTGAGAGGACAGGGAGAGAAGAAGAAGGCCACACGTGCCATCTGAGTAATGGAGGTTACTGTATATTTAGACTGGCAGCACAGCAATGTAAGGACAGGTTCTCCCCAATCACTTTCACTGAAAGCGCATTAGGAAGTGATTTCTAAACAGTATGAACAGGATGAATGGTTACAGTAAGAAAAAACGGTTTCAATGCCAACATTTCATGCATTGTTCAAACAACTTTGGGTAAAACTGCACTTGGGACAAACACCACAAAGAACAACCGTGATATCCTATATGTGAAAGTGCTGAAAAACTAAATTTGAGAAATTCGTAAACATAGATGGGTACGAGGTCTCTCTCCCTGTATGTCTGAGCCTTCCCTTCCTCCAGAGCAAGTAATCGATCTACCTCGTGCCAACATTTTTACCAGACTCAACCAACGCTGTGACAGCCCGACCTGAGACGCTCATAAACTCTTTAACGTGGATTTTAGCTCAACACACAGGTGGATTGAAACCAAACTCAAATCCAATTCCTAGATGTGTGCCTCAACATTTCCTCTCAAGACTTTAAAATTGTCATTTTAAAATCAATTCAGTTAAAAGAATCATTAGTAGTCAAAAGTAGAGAGACGATAAAGAATGACGTGAAATAAAGATCCCCAAACTCAACTAAGGATGTTGCAACACACAGTGTGCGTGTCTTAACAACTGGGCAACCGATACTAGACATTGCTTTGGTTTGAGGAGCAGCAAGATTTCAGTTGTGCATCCATCCTGCACGCAGCAGCTTCATGTTCATATGAAATAACGAGGCACCAGTTAACTTGTGTTCACCTGCGTTGTTACAACACAAAGAGGTCAACAAGACCTGAACACGCAAACCCAACCGCATCTCGCTTCTAATGTTTGGATTTTAGAAAAAAAAAAAAAACAGCCTCAAACTTCTGTGAGGAGGATTAGACGGACCTGAAAAATCAACCACATCAAACTAAATAAACAAACTGGTTTCCATGACTACAGTGTTATTGAAAAACAATACCTGAGTAAAATTAGGAGAGCTAGACCAGGCTCGGCTCACACAAACACGGTTTGGATTTCTCCCCCTGAAGCACGTTTGCTTTTCTTTGTCTCGACCGTACATTAAGCTGAACCGTTGCAATCTGGAAACAACGTCACGCAGAAGTTGCATCATTAACCTCCAACGCCGGCGAACTCGCAGATGGGCTCTGCTTTCCTGTCTTCATCTCACTTTGAACTGTGACAATTAGTGCGACGCTGTTAACCAAATTAATCATAGACTTCGCTGGTATTAAGGAGGAAAAAAAAGAAACGGCAACACTAGAAAATTAAGCAGTGATTGCAGACCTATATTGAATAAACTGAAAATAAACACCAGACCAGACGGAGCGAAACTGGATCCCTAGAATTGGGGGGGGGGGAGAGTGAACTGCACAAAAATAGAAGAACTTATTTTTAGGTCTTACAACTACAGACAGTGACAGATAAGGTGGTAAAAACAGGCAGGAGCAGACAGGGCCACATGCATACTGAACCTGATGATGCATGTTGATGTTTCCCCGCCATCACACTCAATCAGGACAGAACCAGGCCAACGCTGAACAACCAGACATGTTGGAGCAGCAGCACAGCAAGCAATACAACTGCTGCTTTGCTCTCTAATTAGGGTATAAAAGCACACACGAGCCCGTTGGCATCAATCCTGTTCTTCTCTGCCCACATAGGTGAGCAACAGGTCAAATAAAGGCCACCGTAGATGCCAGCACAGGATCAAACGATCGCATCGTTTGACAAAGTCCACATTTGACTCCGCGGTGACAACGACGATTGTCCAGTGGCCCCCCCCCCATAGGTTCAACTGGGAAAGATGATTTGTCAGTTCCCCATAAAAGATACGTTGCCCGTGGTCTGGTCTGAAGGAGGAGAGGGTTGGCATGTACTTTTGACTACGACACAAAAACAAACGGCTCCCTGCGTCGCGGAATTACAAATTTCCAGCGCTTGAAAGTGATAAACCAACTGCTGCAATATTTTGTACAGCTTGGAGTTGATTCCTAACTAAACAGATTGAGCTATGTTCATTTTAGATCAGGTAGAACTACAGCCAGACACAAGGCCACAACAAGAGCTGGCCGCTTCTTGTCATACTGTGAAAAATACCCCCGTTGCTCACCTCATAGACAACGTGATTAATGCTGTAGCTTACCGTTAACTAAAGTTTAAACTATGTATGTAATGAAAGCCGTGTGTAGGTTGTATTCAAATGCATGAAAGAGGAGCACTTTTGACTGTGGACCTGGTCACGTGTCAGTGGAGCTGCAGGTCAAATGACAGTACAGATGCTCCCGCTGGAACCCAGTGCATTCTGGGATACCCGGGTAATCCCCACCAGCAATGAGCTCTCGGGTGGTCCGGTCCATCTCCTTTACCAGTGCGCTCAAAGTGTGTGTGCGTGTGTGTCCTGAGCCAGCACTAATGACAGTAGGTAAACTGACCTGGGCTATAGTCATCCTTATGGAGCGACATGGTGAGGCCTCTCACTTTACTGCAGGGGAGGAGAGAGCGTCAGAGACGCTGGGTGGGCAGATGCTCCGACAGAAAGAGGGAAATCACCCCCTTCAGCTTGACTCTGGATTTCTTACCCCTCTTACAGCACGACTGAGGATAAGACTCGAGACTCGCAGCTTAGACCAAACAATCTCAGCAGCTTCAGTCTCAATGACGGCTGATAATCTGTATGTAAGATAATATGTAAGACAAGCTCTAAGTTGCAAGTCTGGGCTTCAGCTGACTGCTACACAAAGCAACAAAAAAAGTGTCAGCAGAGAAAAGATATAATTAGTATACTAATCACACAAGGCATCCAGCACTCATGACATTCACCACAGTATAAATCCTTTCCATTGAGAACAATTTATTCCCCCCTTCAGCCAAATGCTTGTATATATATTATGAAAATGTCTAAACTGCCAGCAGTCCATAAATGATGTAAAGCAGTTTTCAAACTCAGCAGCTCTCACATCAAAAAGATGAAAACTTGGGAGTCGACAAACGTGGGCCTCATGCAGACTTTACAACTTGGCACATGCACCGACGTGTACTATACCAATAGACTTTAGGTGACGCTTAACTGTAAAGGTTCTGATGCAATTAAAGAGCCGGGGTTTTTGGCCTCGTTATCAGATATTTTCTCGTGCAGAGAACATTCTCAACCATGTTAACCCAATTTCCTGCACCTAAACAGCCACTTATTGTGCAGTGACTGCTTTAACCATGCTTCTACAGCCATGGGTCTATTTCGGTCATTCCCACAACAATAAACCTCGACTTTACAGAGAAAAACACTACAAAGGAGGAATTAAACGTGTGAAAGATGGGGAGATGAGATTCCAACACATAAAAACTACAGAGTTATGGGTACGAAAAAACGTATACGCAGAAGAAAATCAGCCTGAAAGTGTCAAAGTGACAGAAATCCCCACTCGTCTGACTATAGCAACTACTTACTTGTGTTGTCCGGGACTTTCTGAATGTATTCAAAGTGTCCATCTCTGCCAAAAACTACTTTTGACGCACAGGTGCGTTAACCATAGCAACAGTGGGGGCCAAAACAGGATCCCGACAGCAGGAATGTGAGTGGCTGAGATATTTGTAATACCTAAACATAGCATGTCAAAACTCTCTCTCTCCCTCTCTCTCTCGCCCAGCAGCGCACCAACGAAACACATAACCCTACCGGCCTGGCTCTTAACAGTTTCACAGTAGAGACACACTCAACTACAGGCGCTGTGCCCGACATCAGGACCACGTTGTCTTTACACCCTCCAGGACCGGCACACAAGTCACAGGGTTTATCTAGCCGTCAGTCAATTAATAAAGAAACAAAATCATGCATGTCACAAAGGGCTAAACAAAGACAATAAACATAGCACATTCCTATAAAAACAAGCCTCAGCTAGCAGCAGTAGGGGTGTACTCCTACAAGAGCTCGCTACAAGGACCAGCCAGACAGAGCTGGCCAGGCAAGTCAGGAGGGATCCACAGAGAGTCTATTAGAGCATAACGGTGGGACTTTACTGGGAGGCTAAAAAGTAAGGAGAAAAAAAAATAAAATAAATAAAAAAAAATAAAAAATGGAAATCGTTCTCTGACTAAATCTTAAGTGAGAAGCAGGCTGTGCACTAGTTGTAGTTGATCACAAAGTGTGGGAGTGGAGAGGTGCTTATCGATGCCAGGTTTGGCTGTTTCTCATCAGATGTAGTACAGACTAAGCACCGCGTTATGCTTGAAAAGAAGTGGTTCATAAGATGTGATTGTTTATAGCCGTTACATAGAAAGCCTGTGAAACGCCTGCTGTCATGGGGGGGATCCAATATTGCTTAAATGTGGAGATAATGCCACACAGCTTCTGTCAGAGACAGTCAAGTCTCTTCTGGAGGGTATTCACAGGATTGCACATCTGTACAAGTGAAAAGTGACAGAAATAGTTCCGTAAAGAAGAAAGAAAGTTCAAACCCCGGCTACTTTCTCACCCCTGCACAGCTGGCCAATTAGGGCGCAAAGTGGGTGTGAATGTTGGATTCAGAGAGGATACAGATATGAGTCGGATACAGAGCCCCAATTTCAATGACGGAAAGGTGGGTGGGGTGGGATTTCAGACGGTGTGCAATCATCCGACAACTCTGAAGGAGTATACTGCCGACTGAAGTCCATCAAAATGTAGCCATCTTTGTATGGCTTCAGTTCAACAACACTGTCGGAAGAACAAACAAGCATTTTTCTTGTTCTGTGCATGTCTAAGCTCATTTTATTATCTGGTGATGCGTTTCACTTTTTTCTGCTCACTGACAATAAAAACAGCCTAGACCAATAAAATCAGCAACAAACGGTACAAACAACCACCACTTGACATTATGAAGTTCAACCACCATACAGAGATTCCTCTTATACGAGCCAGAGACACCGATATCTCCACAGGCGGTAGTCTCACACCAGAAAGCAGGAAATGTTGGGCCATGATGAGCTGAGGGTGGGGAGCCCAGAAAACAAATTTCCAAAACTTTCAGCACAAAATAACCTTCGTGATCCACTGAACATCACAGACTGGTATATAATGCTGATATATAAAGCTTTGAGGATTTTCCTTTCAGGTCAAAGTGAGTTCCTACCCCTAATGAGACAAGCATGGTGTGGCTTATTGCTCCAGTCTGTACTGTGGTTCCAGTGCAGCCTCCCCACAGCCCTTCAGTGTACCTGACGGAGCCTAATGACCACTGCAGCCATCACCTGCTGAGAGCAGACACTGAGCTACACCCACAGCCTGCCAGCTTGACCCACAAAGAACACAGAATGCAGCAACATTTGTAAAGAACGCTGGCCAAAAACTTTACTCATCATTTTTACAAGTGGTCGCATGGTAGATGTAAGGGACAAGTGTGATTAACTAGAAATGGGGGGGGGGGGCTCAAAAGTGTCATGTCTGGGGCTGCGAGGACCTTCTTTGTCATTAGGAGGACGTGCTCCCGCTCCCTTTGTCTCCAATTAGTTTTCTCTGAAGAGCGCAGAGACATCTTTAAGAGAGGGGTTTAAATAATGACCCTTCATCATGCAGGCTAGGCCAGAGGGAGAAAAAGAGAAAAAACAACTTTACCGAGCTCGCTTTGAACATTCTGAGAGAGTGGCGAGTTGGACCAACAGATGGTCGCGAAGACGGCAGGGAAAAGACGGGGTGGTGTAATGGTGGACGGGGAAGAGACTGAGGACAATGTGGAGGGAAGCAGAAATAACCATGGCAGCATATCGGCAGGTAGTAGACAAAGGGGGACCGAAGAGGAGGTAGGTGACAGAGAATCTAAAAACGTTTTTTCTTACTAGGCTTTAAAGATGGGACCAAAAAGAAGTGCTTCTTAAGCACAAATATCAAAAACTGCCAGTGCGGCCTGTGTGACCCGAGCTTCAGAGTAATATGCCCCGTCTGGAAGGGACAACAGCACTTCCCAGTGAGAAGAGTTGAGAAGAAGAAGTAGAAAACTCCCTCTGCCGTGGCTCCAATCCTTCGCTCCTTCTGTGCAGTGTTGGCCGAAAGTGATGGAGGGCGTCTGACTCATCTTCACATCATTCCAGACGGCAAATTCCTTCCGTACTACTACAGCCCTGCTGCCACATCATAGTTAACCCCCTGGCCAAAACAGGTCAGCTTGTTAAAGAGCTTGTCAGCCTCTCCGTCTTTAATCCAGTGTCACATAAATGTCACCGGGCTCATTAAAAGATCATACACATCTAACAGGCCGTGGCTCAATGAACACATCTTTCCCCTCGAAATCTCACACTGTGCTCCACTGCACAGCAAGTAGGGCTACTCCTGGTTTAAAGGAATATGGAAGGTGAGAGCGATGATATCGGCTGCCGGCTGAGTGGATTCATGCAGCGCTCCTACCTGGTAATGCCCATGAAGGGGATGGTGGTAAAGATCTTTTGACAGTGGAAATGGAAAACAGATTTTCCATCAAGGTGCACCGAGAGGCCTCTCGGCTGTCCGTTGAAAGAGCGTGCTTGATACGCAGTGTTTCTTTTAACTATTCTGTTTACAGATTTCAGGTCAAACCAAAACAAAGAGTTAAAACCACTTAAGATGATCTGAATAAGCCAAGGGAATGCACAAAAAGGGAAGAAGTGGGAAAGGATGGGAGTGATTCAAAGATCAACAGAGACGTAAAAGACAGCAGGGAATTAATGAAAAAAAAGAGGAGTGCAGGTTTATAACGGGGCAGAAGCAGTGTTGCAATGAGAAGACTATTTAGTAAATAGCAGTAAACACACGGATCTGTGCAGCTGTGCGGGGTTGGATGGCCCATGTAAGGGCTGTGTGTTCTTATTAAACCCCAGGGGGCCCAAATAGTGACACAGCACCTGCATTAAGGGGAGCGCGGGATTATGAAAGGAAACAAGAAAGAAATAGATCCCGGAAAGGTCAAGTTGGATACAAGCTGGCATTGTGTTTATCCCTGAAGTTTATCACGGAAGTGCTAAACTTCAAAAGAGGAACAACATACTAGTTGGTGCAAGTTTGGGAAAAACAAGCTTGGCATTTAAACTGGCATTCTGTGCCATGTTTGTTGAAGGGGAAAAAAACAAACTATTTTACAAATGTTAATAGGTTTCAGCCTTCTATTCTGCATCACTTTGGGGGATCCGTCTCAAGAAAACCATGAAATCTCAGTCAATGGTTCGTCAAAGCCCAATAAGATGAATGATTTATTCAAAATGTCATTTAAAAAATATGCTTGGTCCAACATAGAAGCAAATTTGACCAATCTAAGTACACACATACACATATATATACACACACACACACACACACACACACACACACACACACACACACACACACACACACACACACACACA